GCACAGTAAGACAATATCGTCCGCATACTCAAGGTCGAGAAGTCTTTCTCCAGGCAACAGATCCACACCACCATTACTTACATTCATCAGAGCTGTTTCCAGAATGTCATCGATGGCAAAGTTGAAGAGGAATGGTGAGATTGTGCAACCCTGCCTAACCCCACTGCTCGAATGGAACAATGGAGAGAGGTGGTTGTATGCCCTCACTCTGCCTGAGGTGTTTTTATACAGGGCTTTTAGGATGTTAATAAACTTCTCAGGCACACCCTTCTTCAATAGACAATCCCAGAGAACAGTCCTATCCAACGAATCGAAGGCAGCCCTGATGTCAAAAAACACTACGATTGTTGGCCTTTGAAAAGTATGGCGGTGTTCCAACATTTGGCGGAGGGTGAAGATATGATCAATACATCCTCGACCAGAACGAAACCCAGCCTGCTCCTCGCGAGTCAATCTTTCTCGGGTTTTGAACAACCTACGAAGTATGATGGAAGCCAATAGCTTGGACGCAATCGGAAGTAAACTTATCCCCCGATAGTTGTTACAAGAACGACGTGAACCCTTTTTAAAGATAGGGACAACTATGGACTCATTCCATGACGTTGGCACACTCTCTAGTTCCCAAACCTTTGTGAACAACGTCGTCAATTCCTTAGTCAAGAAGTCACCACCATCTTTAAAAAGAGCCGGAGGTAAGTCATCTGGGCCAGGTGATTTGTATCGCTTCAAGAGCTGGAGTTCCTTGCGGACTTCCGCCTCATTTGGTGGATCAGTCGTCACCGGCCATAGAGAGCAGGACAGTCTGACCGATGTTGCCGGAGCAGCAGGCCAGTTGAACTGCCCTTCGAAAAATTCTGCCCATCGTCCAAGACGTCGATGGATGTTAGTGATTGGCATCCCATCATCCTCGCAGATTGTTTCACTCACACCAGACTTCTTGCTGCCAGTGGCTCGGATGAGTTGGAAGAGCTTCCGGTAGTTACCAGATGCAGCTGCTGCTTCCAGCTCATTAGCACGCATCGACCACCAGGCTTTTCGGTCCTTACGCAAGCTTTGCCCGATTTCCTTACGTAAAATCCTTCGTTTATGGTCAAACTCACGGTTACCCGGAGTAGACCGACGGGCTTCAATGAGTTGTAAGGAACCAGAAGAAACCCAGTGCTTAAAAGCGGGACGTTTCGCGAACCCACAACTGACTGTTCCCGCCATTTTCATGGCGTCATGCAATTGCAACCAATGCTCATCTATACTTTTCGGTGGAGTGGTAGCTAGCCTAGAGGCTAGCTCGGTTCGATACTTACTTGCAACAGAAGTTGCAACCAGCTTGCTAACATCAATCCGTTGATGGAGGTCACTTCGTTGTCCACTGAAAAGTAAGGCAAGATTGGCGCAGACCAAGGCATGGTCAGAGTCCAGATAGGTACTCCAAAAGGAGCGGCAGTCTTGTACACAACCACGCCAGCGGTAGCTGATCGCGATGTGATCAATCTGAGTCCAGGCTTGAGATGCAGAGGGAGGACGCCAGGTGGCACATCGGCGATGACTGTGCCGAAAGTTAGTGCTAGCCAGAAACAGGTTGTGGTCTGTGCACAGTTGCAGTAGACGGTCCCCGTTATCTGACCTGCGACCAACGAGTCCCCATCGGCCACCTAAACGACTCTCTTCTGTGCCTAGACGCCCGACCTGAGCATTCAAGTCTCCGGCTAGTACTACAATATCTGTCGAACGCACTTTCTGGAGAAGAACAGCTAACTGATGGTAAAACTCATCCTTGATTGCATCCGGGCTGCAACCTGTCGGGGCATAGGCGGAGATGACGAAAAGACATCGTTTCTCACGCCGATTTCTTCTCACTTTGATGGAACTTTCTAATCTAACAGCACATAACCAACCGACTGTTAATGAGGATCCAATCGACTAGTGCTGCCTCAGCTCTAGCGCTTAGTGCGACACCAACGCCAGCAAGACCAGACGAAGATGCCACAGGGTCCCCGGATAAGCGCACGTAAAACAAGCTTTTCGAAGCGACAGATGGAGATCGAATTTGTAGTACTTCGCCAGAGTCTTGAATACGGGTCTCGGATAGACAACACACGTCGATATTAAGACTTTCCAAAGACATAGCCAGCCCTATCTGTTGTCCGACCTGCATAAATGTGCGAACGTTGAAGGCAGCCAGTTTGAATGATGCACGTGGTTTCAGAAAATCTGCTTCAGTCCTCGTATTCGGTGGTAACATACAATTTTCAACCGGACAGTGACTCGAGAACGTTTAGATACAGTCGGAATTCCACCAAAGACGAGCCGCTGTATAAGTATAAAAGGTGAATAATGTGGAAAATAATAATAATAATGATAATAATAACAATAATGACAATAATAGTAGTAATAATAATATTAGTATTAATAATGACAATAATTGTAGTGATCATAATTTGAATCAATTGATTGTTTTTCAAAGCGACAAAAGTAATTTCCATAGACATAAGAGTTCATCACTTGTGTGTGGGCTGTGATACTGCCCGGGTGCCCAAACCGAAGCAGGTGGTTATCTTAGGGGGCCACTCCCCGAGCCTTTGACCTAAAGGTCTAACCCACAAGGCAGTGGAGCATCGTAAGGAGATGCAGTCCCATGGTAGCCGGTGACCAACGATTGGTTCATACGCCATTCGTTCCCGCAGGATACTGGAGCCCATGTGCACCATTGATTTGGAATCCGGTTAAAGCGCCGGACATTCGCTTTTCGTCCTCTCATTTTCGTAAACAACACCTGCTCCGGTTTGGGCGCCTGGGCAGTATCCCAGCCCTCATACAAATCGAATGACAAAATGTAACACATACATAGTTGATGCCTCTTTGGAATAATGTTTGTGTTTATAAAAAATAAATTAAATAGAGACATCACTGTGAATAAACCGAGTACTGAGTGTTATATGACAATAAACATGCTATTTCCAGTGTAAAAAAGGTTCGAGGTATATATATATATATTCAAAATTTCGGTAGTGAAAGTTAGAACACACAATCAAACGGTTTTGTTTTCAATTAGACCCTAAATAGGTTTTACTCTAATATACAGCAATGTTCATACTGCCCTGAAGAACATTTGATCAAATCTCACCATAATTTAATAGTCTAAAATATTTTCGTTACAGGTTGATCATATATCTCGAAGAGAGCACTTAGCTATTAGACAACTAGGAGGGGGTTCGACAATATACCAAATCTAACATCATTTAGTACCAAAAACATTGATACGATCATTTAATCTTATTGTTGACGACTGCATCAATCCCAAACTAGTTGAGTCCAACCGGTGACGATTTTACAAGGGAGACTTACCAATTTATTTCAAAGTAAGCCAATGTGGTCAATATTTCACGAATATCGTCTACAAATTACACAAACCATAATACCTAAAGCATTTTGTAAAAAAAGACTATTGATCCTCCAATAAAATATGGAATATCTAATCAACGAGCGTGACTGTCTTCAATTCGAGGAACCGTTTTGTTATGCTCAAACTGAATATATATAGAAATGCAACCATAGACTGACTCGTGCGAATCATTTATTTTCTAGGCAATTTCATCTTGTATTGTTTTATAAAACACTGAAACGAATAAAGATACATATTTCTCAACGATCATTAGATAATACAAAGTAGAGTGTATCCACTAAAATACTTGAGTTTCAGCACGATTTAGCTGTAAGCCTGTGGTAAACATTTATTTATTTATTTTAGCACATAGATATTGGTACAAGAAGGCACCAAATACATATGCGCCACACAAATCTTATTCGATATGTGTGAGGGCTGTGATACTGCCCAGGTGCCCAAACCGAAGCAGGTGGTTTTCTTAGGGGGCCACTCCCCGAGCCTTTGACCTAGAGGTCTGACCCACAAGGCAGTGGAGCATCGTAAGGAGATGCAGTCCCATGGTAGCCAGTGACCAACGATTGGTTCATACGCCATTTGTTCCCGCAGGATACTGGAGCCCATGTACACCATTGGTTTGTGATCCGGTTAAAGCGCCGGACATTTGCTTTTCGTCCTCTCATTTTTGTAAATAACACCCCCGCCACGAGAAGGCAGTGAGTAGGACTTCCGTGGCAGAGGCTATATACGCGTGGCCGTGTGAGAGCATTTCGAGAGGGAGAGCGGACTTTCCCCACTCTCGGCCGTACCAGGGCATTTGGGGGCTGTGGTAAACATAAGTTAGTTACAATTTTATGAAACACTTTTAAATCACTTTAGCTTTCGTAAACACATCAGTCATAATTACCATAGCAATGTCATATACTATAATCCATTTTTTTGATGGTCAGAATAAAAATGAAGCACTGTAGCTAAATTGGCCCGATTGACCTTGTTCTAGTATTTCTAGAAATTTCCTTATATTCGATTATATATATGTATATATATCTAAGAGAAAGAAAGGATACAAAGAGAATCCACTAGAAGTAGTTAACTAATTCTGTTGTATGACAAAGATGAAATTATTCGAGTGTTTGCTTTTCGTGCCTTAATTAATATCATCACTGTCAGTAGGATTTCGAAAGATCATCAGGTTGTTTCATGCATAAATCACTTTTATATTGATCAATAAAACTAACATTCCGTTAACTGGTTCGCTTATAACTTCTATGAAACGATTTGACATTGTTTGACCAGTCAATGTTTTGTACCGTATTCACAATTATTGTAATTCAATTATTATCGACTAATGTAATTCTAAATTTTCCATTTGTGTTGATCATAAATTCATGAATAATATTAATATGAATAGTTAGTCAATTTTGTTGCCGAATTTGAAGAATTCATGACTCAAAAAAAGAAAACCTCTAATTCAACTCTATCAAATTTGTAAAAACTAACCAACTCTATGGTAACAACAGTTGAGATATCTCATAAATTTTATTAGATTGTAAAAATTAGAAAAACAAAACAAAAACATTTAGAGAGAAAAAGAAAGGAGAACAATTGACAAAACGTAAGATCATTGTAGTTTAAGTGCACGAATTTCATTTACAGCAAAATCACGTCTGTAAAATAGATTGAATAAGAAATATTAAAATAGAATTTCTATATAGTAAACCTGAAAAAAGCTTATGAAAGATATCAATAAAAAACTAACTGATACTGAAAGTGACCGCTACTTAAACTGGACACGTATAGGTTTCACGTATTTCATCACAAACTCCGTCTGGAGTCCCTCCAGGGGCTACTGCCAGTCTGAAGTGTGGATGAAGGAGGAGGGTTGGGCATGAGGTTAGCGACCCCATCCCTTAGAAAACTAACTCGCTAAAAAAACGCTAACCAGAAAAAATTGTTCAAATTATTCCATCACAAATGCCTTCTATGTGGTGTTAACGTAGGTTAGAACAACAGAGTCAATATTGTTGTAGTTAAGCGTAAGGTCCTAAAAGCGAGTGGTAATTCGATTAAATAAGACTATCACATATGTTAACGCTTAATTTAGTCAATGCTTACGCCCATATCTAATAATGAACAGAATTGTAGCAGGTTAGAAGACGGTTAAGAAGCTCAAACCAAAAATTCTTATCAGTCCATGAAGTTACTATGTCATAGGTTCGAATTTTCATAATCCGAATGATGATCGGTCAACGGGCTAGAAAATCATCTAACGAATACCCTGTTTGCTTTAAAAGACACAGATAGAAGATCACGTTGACTGATTAACCTAATTTTACCAATTCAACTATGTTAAATCAGCTTATCTAGTACAGAATAATCCCTTAAAATCAAAGAAATAAGAAGTTATCAAGCCTCTTCATATATATATATATATATATATATATATATATATATATATATATATAATTGAAACTAACCTTAGAGATAGAATACTTCTGACTTCATGTGCAGTAAGACGCCAATTAGAACTATTCCAATAATAATGTACTTCTTCAATCTGGAAAACCCCAAACACATTGAAAACAAAAGTATAACAAACAAAAATGGACTGATCTATTTCTTATAATTGAACTTTTAGGATAACAGGAAACTAAACAACATTATCAATGCTGAGAAAAAAAAAGACTGTGATAAGTTTTTCTTCGTTAGATCACAATAGTTGAAGGAGCTGGAAAGGATTGCTCAGAACAGGGTTGGATGGCAAATGCTGTTGAGCGGCCTATGTTCCTTCAGGAGGAGTAACAGGCGTAAGTAAGTAAGTACCTGAGACTAATCTCGAAGCTTAAAAAATGTACACTTTTACTGAGTAGGTGATCTACATTTCTTAAAATCAAGATAAGTTTACTCAGAAGATTGATTTATAATCTAGAATTCTTCTATAGATATTTATCCAATAATAATAATAATAATAATTAAAATCTTTAAACTAATAGGGAAATAATTCTGAACTTACTCGATCCAAGTTTAAAAGTCTACAAATCTGTAAACTACGCGTAAAATAATCACGCAAAGAGCTGTAAGATATTGATGTCAAATATGCAAACAAATTACGATATTCTTTTTCTAGTTGAATAGCTCCAAACTATTTTGAAATAAAAAAGTGAAGAAAAAAAAAGATTGAATAAAAATTCAGTATGAAAGAAGAAGAAGAAAAAACGGCATAGAAACAAAACTGAACATTGAAATAGAAATATTCCATAGTGACTTACTCTACTGAAAGATTTCCTTTGAATAAATTGATCAAGTTGATGCAAAATCTCATTTATGAGAATTAATACAAATCGATCGTTATTCTCAGTTGACAGAACAGACTATAAATGAGAATACAAACAAAAGAAACAAACAATTCATTGAATAATAATAATAATAAGCTACTCATTATTGTACATTTTAATCAAAACATTTAATCTTTACTATACAAAAATCATTCGGAAGCATATACAGATTGTTTGAAGTCATGATCCTTTATCACGAAAAGTACTCTTCTAATTAGTAGTACTTTTCGTGATAAAGGGTCACTAACTAGAAGACCAAACCAAAACGTGGCATCAGGTCACAACGTCACTAACTTCTAGTCTGAGCCATGTTGGTAGATGCACACTACTTGGTTGGGGTCCGCGTGACTATCGTAAGCAATGGTTGGAGACTCTTGGTGACATGGCTCAGAATCGATCACAATGGCATCGGTGTATACACTCCCTGTCTTCCCTTAAACTAAGAGATTAAAATCGCTTCATATCTTTCTTTCTATGATCTAATTCTTTCTTCCTGTACTATATCCTTATTGCAATCTTTCTTTTATATATTACCATCATCATTGAATTAACTACTTTTATGAATCCGGTGTGCATCTTGTTGTGTTAATGAGGTATGGCAACTTGGACCGATGCATATATGTGTCTGGTCCTATGTTGTAGCTGACTGATTGACTGACTGACTAATTAGAAGATAATACATATAAATTATAGGCAATAAAATAATAAGAACTATGTACATATACTTTTAAGTCAATGAAACTTATTGAGTCTTTCAAAATTCTGTATTTTACATACTGATATACATCATTTTATACTAATAAAGTGAATAGTTGAGATAACTCTGAAATTATAAAATCAATAAAGATGGTAGCTAAAGTGTACGAAACAAATTTGGTGAATATGTCGCTGACGTCATGAGTACTGAAGATCTTATTCTTCAATCCATTTAGTATCATGGATGATCACTTTGGAATAATAATAATAATAATAAAGTAGACCAAAATAAGAGCACTAATTAATGCTAATTTGATAAACATATCTCTTTATGAAACAAAACACAACAGAATAATCTAGTTATATATAAGGGCGGCCTGCTTGAGCATCTGGGCTACCTTTTCCTGCCATCTAGATATTTCAACAAGTTATCTATTGTTGTTTGTTTTAATATATCATTATGTTTATTAATCGCATAACGTATTCTGCTGCGTTTCTGAAAAGTGTACAACCTTTCGTTGTCAAAGTTACAGAAAACTCAATAAGAGACAATATGGTTGCTGGCAATGTACAACGAAAAGAATGTACATTATTCAGTTGTTCATTCACTGAAGTGCTAACATCTAACTGGCGATTCCTCAATATTTATCGCCAGGACCGACCAAGAAGAAAGAAACGGAAACTTGTTGAAATACTTTGCGCTGAGAATTCTATATTGTACCAAAATTATAATATTGAATAAAGCTAATAATAATAATAATAATAATAATAAATCAAATCATGAATGCTGAATTTGAACAAATCAAATACTTGTCAAAGTGAACAATTATGTAGTCAAGGTGTATGCTAGTCAGTTATATATAATTTAGTTGAGATGGTGAAGATTTGTAGCTCAGGTGGATGATTTTGGTGGAGTTTTGTTCTCTGAGCTGGATGGTTTGGTCGTGGAGCTTTCATCGTTCTTCTGAACGACATCATCAGCACAAACTTCAGATAGAAGTGAAGTGTTTGAATTTCTCCATATGTGTCTCAAAGCTTGTTCTGTGCACCTCGACGTTGATTGGTTCTTGTTGACCTTAAATTTGTCGTTGTTTACTTCTTTGTTTTGGTTGTGTCTCCAATTGTTTTGATTTTTGTTCTTATGTTTGTGCATGATTTTTCTGATTGGTTGATAAATTGGACTGATTTCAATATGTTTGTTGATTGCTGATTGACCTGAGTGCCAGTCTTCTAAAAATTCTCTGGTGTTTTTGGAGTTTCCTCTGTCTAAGATTTCCACCAAAATCATCCACCTGAGCTACAAATCTTCTCCACCATAAAAACGATTTATGTAAATTTATGTATTAACCAAATTCTATAACTACAGTGATAGAAATGACATAATTATTTTTAAAAAATAATAACTACAATCTGAAACTTGAATACCCTAAATGGTTTGAGAAAATCTTCTGTATGAGCTATACATGATTCAATCCATCGATCATTAGCAGCGAAAACATCTAGATCCTCCTGAAATAAAATTGAAATTAAACGGAGGAAATCATATCATGAAAATGATTTCACCAAATAAATATTGTTATCTTATTAATATAATTAAATAACTAAGAAAATTCATTTCATTAAGAATCTAATAAACGATCCCTATCAAATTTACTGTTGTTGTTATTATTATTATTATAAGAATGGTACATGTGACACGAGGTTATTGATCAGTTATCATGTCGTGAGTTGAAACTGTCCTTAGGTTAAGGTTACAAACTGATATTCAAGGTGATGAAATTAGTATCAATACTTTCAGTGCATAATAAAGAAAATGACCAAAGTAGTATAACAGATTGAACAATAAGTACATTATCAACGATAAGAAATTAGGTTGGCAGTAAAACATAAATCACGGGCAGGAATATTGCGCGATAAATTGGTAGGTACTCATAAGTAATATACTTGTAATAACTACATAAATCTCACAGGCCTTCTCACTGGTACATAACCACAAGAACCTCATTCATATTCACTAAGTAAAGATCTACATTTCTCTTCAATTCATAACTGTTAGCAATGTATCTGGTTATTGTAAAATGTCCATACAAATTGGAAAATTGAAGCTATTTTGATCATTAGTTCACATTCTCTTCTACATACAATTTCTTGCAACAAAGTAAACTTACAAACTGAAGAGAATTCATACAACTTTATTAGACGTGAGCCAGGTTATCATCACTTATCACAGAAAAAATTCTTTGTAACTAGCTTAGGGACTAATGAATCTGTACAACAAAGACAGTGAATCAAGATTTGCAGGCAGAGAAATGGAAATATACAGTCGGTATTATTCTACTAGAAATTCTATGATAGTAGTTATACGTTGACTACGTAAGTAAAACCATTATTTCCCTTGGTAACTATAACCTATGTTCAAGATTAAAACATCAAAGCTATAAGACCTTGATAGTCTAAAACTTTTAAAACACTTGTAGAGTAGTAAAAAATAACATATGATGAAATATTCTACCAGCCAAAATATTCCACACTATCACGAAGACAATATAGACGAAGTATTAGTAAAAACGATAACTACGACGTAAGAACAAATAAAAAGGACGTTGTCTGAAACGGTAGTTAACTGGTTAAGAGATTTGGCTTTCAGCTATTAGGTTCCAATTCTAAGCCCAGCCTCAAAAAACTCGGTCTGGGCAACTAGGTCATATCACTAGCCCTTACTTGAATTATGGTTTGAAGTCAAGTACCCGGTAGTGAGTTTATGATGTTTGAACGTCTTAACAACCAATCCCAATTTAACACACACATTAAGAATAATAAATTTACAATATTGATAAAGGAAACTTTTATTTTTTTCTGTCACTTGGAATGGAAGTATATAAGGGATAAATAGATTATGGTGATTATAGAAGAAAATAAAACTAAATTATGCTTTATACTCTTACCTCAATTAAATCATATTTTAATGATTTGAAAACATTTAACAAAGTTTTTACTTGACTTTGAATGACATTAGTTGAAAGATACTCGAATGCAGAATCAAGTAATGCTTGAAGTTGATCTGAGATAGAAACTTTTAATTCCGTGATACACATCTTAAATTAGATGAGAGAAAAACATGCATAAATCAATCCGATAGAGACAACAAAAGAAATGAGAATTATAAGGAATGAAATATGATATTCAACGTAATGATATGAAATAGCAGTAAATGGAAGAGGAATCCAGGATATACTATTCTTTGATATTGTTTCAAATAAATTACTACAATTATTTGACATTCTTTGCAATTCAAAATCGCTTTGTGAACATTTTATCACTAGGGAAGGCCAGTAACTTGGGATTTCATATAGAAAGAAGTATGTGATTAAAAAGCTTTTTGGATATTGGAGATCATGTATACTACCAGTTTTGGAATCATGATTTGACAATTCACCGTATCCAGTAAGCTGGTGCAACTCCAAAATGTTTGTAATAAGCTCGTACTTCTTTGGGAACAGTTTCAATGGTCAGTATAATAAGCAACGTAGAACATGACAAATATGTACATTGGTTCAAGTTTCTACACCACACCAGGACAGAGAGATGTTATAGTATTTTAATTCGTAATAGAAAAAATTAGGCAAAGAGTGAATTCATGGGATAAAATATTTCCAAGGTAATTAGGAAACTTAAGACTTAATGGAAGACAAAGAGTGAATGTACATGAGTTAATCAATGAGAACAATTCTGAACCATTTCACCCAGTCATTAACCACTGGTTACGACAGTCACACGGATTCCAATCACAAAGCAAGCGCCAATTTAGAATCCTGAAGGGAAACAGAAAAGAGGAAGGCCAAAGAACATATTGCATAGAGAATTGGAAGCAGACATCAAAAGCACTAATAATAACTGGAAACGATTGTCGAGGAAAGAGTTGGATGGAGAATGCTAGTAAATAGCCTACTTATTACACGCACTATTAAATATTAAACCTATAAGCTAAAGCACTATAGTCTAATCAAAAGTGGAATTGACTATTTATTATTGTTTCATTAAATGATAAAAATGGGAATATACCTAGACGCGTAGCAGCGATAAAATCACACCTAAGCAAATGCTTTAATAAAATGAACTGGAAACAAAATGTACATTATTAAAAATACTTAAACTAAATAAGAAAATGTTAGAACATACATTAAGTTTTTGTGAATTGATTTCTTGATTTTGATAAAGTAAATTTAATTCACTTTCAAGATGATTAACAAGTGACAATAAATCTTTTTGACATGCTTCAATACTATTAAGAGTAATGAGAAAATGATATCGTGTAAGTGCATTAGGTCCAATCATATTAAATGATGATACTGTTGGAACATTGACAATGGATGAAGAAGAACTAAGTGAACCAGCTAAGATGAATAAATAGATAAGGGGGGGGGGTAAAAGGTAATTGTATAAGAAAAAGTTATTATAAATTTTAATTAATTATGAAATTGTGAGATTCAATTTACTAAAACATCGACTAACTTTATTACTAACGACTTACAGTAATATAAACAACACTTCTATTTGAAGTGAAATGATACAACAGGCAAAAAGATGGATGTGAAAAGCTCTTAACTATCACGTATATATCTCCACCTTTTTAGACATGTTTTTTTTTCAAGAAGAATTAGAAAATCTAGATATAAAATCAACTGCAGAAATGTGGAGTAAGATATGAAAATAATAAATAACTATCATAGAGAAGTAGTTATTACCAACCTTATGCATTTGACATTTTAATCAAATTTATGAATGATCTGCGCATTAAAGTAAGTGAGTCCAATACGAAATATGAAGGTTTTATAATATTTTTATAAAGTTCTCAGGTGTACAAATCCTTGATCAGTATCTCATTACTGATAACGGATCATGAAGATCACATACAAAAAGACACTGATTAATTTATTCTGAATATCAACAACAGTAAAATGTAAACATTTATAACTAAAAAAAAGATATCGCAGTACTTGAAAAATGGTCTCTATCGTAACTTAGTGTTTGATTGGATACTGCTCTATAGTTTGAAGTAGTTCCTACTGAGTTCAGGGTGCAGTGAGAACTTTAACAAAAGGATGTAGACTAATCCAGTTGACGAGTCCCAGATGGGAAGAAACGTGTGTTGTGGATTCCACCATTAATTAAACGAAGACATAATTCCCGTAATTCGGTAACGCTGTAGTAAAATGTTTCAGAATGAATACATATAAAGTACTCACTCATATGTTGGTATTTGGCAGAGATAAATTGAACTTATTGTATATAAAGAGGCAAATAACCATAACTTCCTATGAAATCAATTTTTTGTAAGAAGTGTTATATGGGACTCCTAAAAGCTTAGCAGAGGAATCTAGCTTACCCACAGCAACACTATTCTGAACATAAGTGTATGCATCTTGTACCCAACCCGAAGGAAACCCTGTACGAATAACGTTGCCCAGAAAATCATTTACCATAAGATCAATTAGCATTGAACAACTATGATTCACCATAGCACAAATAGTATCCACATTACCAGATGAAAGAGATCGACTATTAAAAGGGAAAAAATAATTTCAGTATGACTGAAGTTGGTGTTTTTACAATAAATATTCAATCATTGACTAGTATCTGAATATACCATACATATAATTACTTTTAAGATTGGAAGTTTCAAAACAATGTATTTTGATAGTCGAAATAAATAAACTTGGTTCCTCAGCCAAAAGGTCACCACCATCCTTAAAAAGAGTCGGAGGTAAGTGATCTCGGCCTGGCGACTCGTAGCGCTCCAGGAGTTGGAGTTCCTTGAGGACTTCCATCTCGTTAGGTGGATCAGTCGTCTAACCAATGTCGTCGGGGAAAGTCGTACAAACCGATTACTGAAGAGATGATCTTATACTAAACTGGTAAACCACTGATGGATACTACAGTAAATGGAATCTGGTCACAAAATTAAATCAATCGGATAACAGATGCAATAACGATGTTAACAATCATTAGCAGTTAAAATTTGACCACTGAGATACAATAATATAAAGAAGTAGTAGCCCCTCATAATATAACACGAACTATCAATTAATTATTTAATGGTTAGTGATGAACGATCATATATTTCAACATGATTTTGTTGGAGTGATCCTGAAAATTGCTTGCAAAAGACAAGCAAGGATCAGGAAACACTAAGAAGCGTTTCATCCAATCGGCGTTCACTTGAAGTTTTAGCCAAAAATATCAAAGAATTGGAACGTCAAATGTAGAGGTTCTGATTGGTTGATTGCTATACTGCTTTCCAGAATATCCGAGCAACCCAAGGACATTCAAAAATTTTATAAAAACCCTATATTTTCTGTGTTAAAATGAACCTTGTAGTAAAGTACTTCTCGCATACTTTGCGTCTTCTCCCTCGTTGTTCAGGTTGCTGCATAGTTCTAGCTTGGGAAACGAATACAGCGTTCATTTCGCAAGACTTATCAGATTTTATGAAAATCCATTAAGATGGTTAACGCTGGCAGACAAAACGTTTCGTCTTACGTCAGATTTCCAATAAATTCCTAATTTGATCCTTTCATAAAACTGATAGGAATCGTATGACACTCGGTAGTGTATGCAGTGATAGGATAAATAACTGAAGGATGGAGAAAGCCAATGTGATTGATCATCAGAATCCACAGTCCACAAAGCAATACACCATATATAAGAAAGCTACAATACTACGGGTAGTTGATTGAATGAATGGCCACATTTATACTGCGTAATCATTCCCGTCAATTAAGAAAACTGAATTTTCTGAAAACATGAAATACACTACTAAGACCTTGACGCTTGGAGAAAATCATCAGAGCTGGGTCATTACAGATATGTTACCTTACTAAATTGAAGTTAATACATTTCACAACGAAAAAATTGTAACTTACACAAGACTTTTCTTAGTGATGAAAAACACATCGTCAATAAAGCACCATATATTACTAGATGAGTCGACTTCATCTGAATTTAATGCCTTGCAAAACAAATAATTGAAAAAATCCAGATTAGAAATGATGTTCATCTATTTAAGGTGAAACTAACAACCCAGTGAAGAAATCACGAGTTCGAACTGTTAGTAAAGGTGTTAAATAACAACTACAATATTTTTATCCCTAGATTGAGCAGAATAATGTAATATTAAGGCATTTATCAATTTTCTAGTCAACATTAGCAGAAACTTTACAATAAAGTTAGCGATTATGCATTTTAGTAGTTTAAGATTGATTACTATCCCCAAGTATGTTATCGCCATCTGAACAAATCCAAGTATATCAGAAGAAAATTGTCTATTTCATTTGATCAAATGTAGTTATTGTTGCTGCTGCAAAAGCAGAAGTGATTTGAAGCCTATCAAGAACGATGAATTGAAATATTAAAGGTAAAATCTTCTATTCAGTCTACATATGCGCCAGAACCGAAAGTAAACATAATTGTAAAGTTCGATATCCTCAACGACTCAACAAAACCAGGTTTAGAAACAAAACATATTTTAATTCACTTGATATTGTTTTACTTGAATCTTCCCATTATCAAGTGAATTAAACTTCAACCCATTGCACAAGCAAGTGGCTATCAGGACTCAGTAGCTAAGTGGATAACGCGATGGCGTTTGAAGCAAACAGTACTGAGTTCGAGTCCCAGAGTGAACATCAACTCTGAGATGCAGGTACATCCAGCTAACGAGTCCCAAACAGGACGAAACGCGCGTCCTGGATTCCACTGCTAGCCACTATCCATCTTTGCTTAAAACATATTTTAATTCATAGAGAGTAAGTTGTAAATAAATATTCTTTCCTTAGAATCCACATATAGTTATACACCGTTATTAGAGCTGCTGTTGAATACCGAAGTGGAGATGTTTAGTTAACTAAAGTAATGAGTGACAAAGGTTTACAGTTCCAAGGTGGGAAAGCTACTAAACAATTATAGATGAATTCAATAAAAATATACAAAATATAGTCATTTATCTATAAACACTTACAATAGATATCGTATAATGGAGAAAACAACTCACCTTTATCATTGTCACATAAAGATAATATTGTTCTAAATTAAGATATTTATTGAGTAAATCTTGTACTTGACAAACAAGATGAGAATTTTCAAAAAACTTTGAAATTTCATTACTTTTTTCTTAAAAAAAAAAAAGAAAAGAGGATTGATTTATTCTTAGTATTTTAATCTAAATTAATAAAACTATAGATGATACTAAATTAAATCCATTCTGATAATAATCATCTGCTCACTAGTGGTGACTGAATTCAAGAGATACTGCTGGAGTTCTAGTGAGAAGCCGTTACCGGTGGAGTTCAACCAGGTCTGCTGTGAGAAATTAACTCACTGAAGACAATGGTGTACGGTGGCGCAACTTCGTGGATTGGTTGAAGTTAGACATTAACATCGTTGGATGTCGGCTCAGTGGTCTAGTTGGTTAAGCGCTGACAAGTCCTCGGTTCGAATCTCGCGTAGTGCGGGATCGAGGATGCACACATCTGAGGTGTCACATACTAGGACGAGACGGCTGTCGAGTGCTTCCAGGTTTTCCATGGTGGTCTAGCTTCAATTGACGCATGAATTCAATCAGTAAAACAACACACTACATTTACATCCATATAGTAAGTTTCAACGAGATAATACACTAAGATCATAAAAACTTGTGTGGATATCAGTCAGTCAGTAACAACGTAGAACTTCGTAAGTACGTACATCAGTTCGAGTTGCCACACCACAATAGCACAAAGATGCAGTGGTCGATTCAAATCCCGTACTGGTAAAGGAAATAAGAGTATAAGCAGTAATCGGGAAGATTAGTGCTTGGAGATGTTACTTAAAGAGTATAATACAGTGAAATAAATTTGAGAGAAAAAAAAGAGACAAGGAGGAATAAGGAGATCAAAATTTGGGATAACACAAAGAGTGTATGCACCTGCGCCATTGCAAACGATTTTGAGCCATGTCATTCAGGGTCTCTAACCATCGGTTGCTATCATCTCGCGGTCACTAACCAAGTAGTCTATATCTACCAGCATGACTCAGTCCACTTGTCAGTGACTTCATGGACTTGAACCATGTTTTGGTCTGGCCGCCCCTAGCTTTCTTCCAACCTACTCCTATACCACTGAACATCGCACGTCGAGGTAGTCGGTCGTTGGCATACGTAACACGTGTCCCAGACATCTCAACTCATGAAGTTTCACTACTTCGTCAATCGATTTGCCATCCTTACCTAGTACCCGTTTCCTAACAACTGCGTTACTTGCTCGATAGTCCCAGGATATACGGGCAATATTTCGAAGACACCTATTATCGAATACTAGTAACTTACGAATATCCTTTACTCTTAACGGCCATGTTTCACTGCCACAAAGTAGGATGGAACGAACTGCTGCGCAGTAAACACGCCCTATGGTTGATAGACGGATATCTCGCCCACGCAAGTTGATAAAAGCTAGTCGAGACCTCTGTATCCGTACTGAGATTTCGTCACACACCAGACCACAAGGGCTGATGAAACTTCCAAGATAAATGAAGCGATCGACACGCTCAATTACTTTACTCCGTATCATTAGTTCGGGTGTCAATGCAATCCAATCCTGAAGCAACATTTTGCATTTCGAGGGAGAGAATAGCATCCCGAACATGCTTGCATTATTGCTTATAGTGGTCAGAAGACCGCATTTTGTCAGAGTCTTCACCAAATAAAACTATGTCATCAGCATATTCTAAATCTACAAGTGGACCTCCCGGTAGAAGTTCAACCCTTGGAAATTTAGACGAGGAAAGTGTTATCTCTAAAAGTACGTCAATGACAAAGTTGAACAAGAACAGAGAGAGTGAGCAGCCCTGACGAACACCACTTGAGGTAATCAATTCTGATGACAGTTCGCCATAAGCTCTCACTCGACCAGTTCAGTTGTGATCGAGTAGAGAGCCTTTATAAGGTTAATGTACTTCTTTGGTACTTCTTTCAGTGACATACATTGCCATAGAACCTTACGATCGATAGAGTCGAATGCCGCCTTAAGGTCGAGAAATACTACCATTGTGGGGCGTCTGAACGTGTGTCTGTGTTCTAGAACCTGACGTAGTGTGAATGTGTGGTCTATACAACCACGTCCAGGTCGAAAATCAGCATGATTTTCTCTCGTCTGTTCTTCACGAGCTTTGATTAGGCGTCAAAGTATTATTGAGGCTAATATTTTAGACAATACATTTGTCAAACTGATTCCTCTGTGACTGTCACAAGAGGACCTTTGTCCTTTCTTATAGACTGCCACAATCAGTGATTGAGACCAGTCAGATGGGATTACGTCCAGTTCCCAAATTCTACCTAAGACCTCAGTTAATCTCACTGCTAATACTGAACCACTATCCTTAAAAATCTCAGGAGTAAACCTGTCAGGGCCTGCTGCTATCCCTCGCTTCAGATTTCCTATGGCTTGGATTGAGAATGTATGATATGTCCATCTTTCTCTGAGTGTTTCGCTAACAGTCGGTGGAATGAGTTTCCGAGCATCTATCAGTGCGATAGATGCTGCTGAGATCCAGTGTTCCTCTCTAACCTTACGGGTTACCGTACTAGCAGATATCACTGCTGTTTCCACAGCTTTAAGGATATCATTCCATGCTGCCTCGGGGTGAGCATCACCTGCATGGCTGCCTAACTGTTTTCCTAGTTTTTCCTGAAATATATTCTTAGCTTGACTATCATTAAGTAGGACCCTAAGAGGTTTCTATGAGGCGTCTTTCTTACGTCCACTAAGACGCAGGCAAATACGCGCTCGCACAGGAGCATGACCTGAATCTAAGCACTTGCTCCAGAATGAGCGACAGTTTTCTATCCAACCCCTACATCGGTGGCTGATAGCGTTGTGATCTATTTGAGTCCAACGTTGGGACGAATTAGGGGGTTGCCATGTTAAAAGATGTTGTCCTTATGCTTAAAGTTAGTATTTGCACGGAACAGGCGGTTATCTGAGCATAGCTGCAACAGACGGTCGCCATTATCTGTTCTTTGAGCCACGACACCATAAGATCCAATCAGGTGTCTTTCCCTTTCGCTTAGTCTACCTACTTGAGCATTAAAGTCACCAGCCACTATTACTAAATCAAAGCGCCTAGCTAGTCGGAGAGCTTTCTGTAAAACTCATCTTTTACATCATCTGCTGCAACACACATCGATGGCGCGGGATTCTAAAGTCATAGCTAAGGAAGCCTGCTGTCCTATTTGGCACAGTGTTCGAACGTTAAAAGCTCCTACGTGTAGTTTAGTGCGTGGTTTCAGGAGACCAGGAATAACGTTCCGCGTACTCGAATCGTTTGCCCTAGCGGTGCGAGGTGATAAAGGGACGTGAGGAGGGTTAGTCATGGAGATAAGAGAGGTATTAGGAGGTGCAGGAAAGATTTGAATGTGACCAACTTGGTCTCTTGTGCAGTTACGGGTATGAGGGCTGGTGTCACTTCCCGGCTGCCCACACCATGGAAGGGTATTTCTTGAGGAACCTGGAAAAGAAATTGGATTAGTGTTGGTCTTGACGACCTGGGAGCGTGACCGCAGAGCCCAAGGGACAACTGCTTGAGGCCGGTCGCGCACGGCCTTTTTGTGGAAGGTTTTTAATGTGTTGGCCCCGTTCTTCAAAGGGCCCTACAGCCAGAGAGGGAAATCCGTGAGGTAAGGTGAGGTGTGACATTTTTAGGGTCGACTTTTTCTAACCCCACCTCTCCTTGTGGGAAGGCAGCATCGCTGTCATGCTGGATGTCCGAGGGAAACACCTTACTGCTGTCACACCTCTGTACAGTCAGCAGTACGACTTCGCCCTCAGATATTGAATTGCTGCTTTTAGTCTTGCCGTCCTCCAATCGACCTGTTTGGCATGGTAGAACCTACAGGAACATATGTTCCAGCCAATGTAGCTCGGTTGGGTCATCACGATAGGCAAGCCCGACCACCACGTCATGGTAGCTACGGTCGGGTTGTAACAATGCGCGTAGAGTAGACTCAGTTAAAATAGTTTGAAAAAATCTCAGCTTTTGCCTAGTCTGATTCGGCTGGTGAATCTGGTATTTTGTGTAACATTAACGGGGGAATGCCATCACTACGTTTTGTTCGCCGTTTAACACACGTAAGCAATTGTTTCGGACAAGTATGGCTATCATATACCAACAGTCGTTCGTAAGTAGTGCGGGATTCAGCTATGGCTTTTTTACAAATATTGCGGAGTATTATTCAGCTAATAAAATAACCCCTTAGTTTTACAAACCTCTATAAGTGAAAAAATGACCTACAACTAACTGATTAAAAGTCAAGTTCCTAAACTACATTATAAATAACAAGAAAATTTTCTCATCACTTATGCAATCTCAAGAATTACAGAAAGTATAGCATAAATAGTAATAAACATTTATTTATTTGAACACATAAGTATTAGTACAACGGTGAACCAAGTATACTTATGCGCCATACAAAACAATGAAAATGGGAAGAGAAAAAAAAGCTCGGTTCGATACTTAGTTGCAACAGAAGTTGCAACCAGCTTGCTAACATCAATCCGTTGGTGGAGGTCACTTCGTTGGCCATTGAAAAGTAAGGTAAGACTGTCGCAGAACATGGCATGGTCAGAGTCCAGATAGGTACTCCAAAAGGAGCGGCAGTCTTGTACACAACCACGCCAGCGATAGCTGATCGCGATGTGATCAATCTGAGTCCAGGCTTGAGATGCAGAGGGAGGACGCCAGGTGGCACATTGGCGACGACTGTGCCGAAAGTTAGTGCTAGCCAGAAACAGGTTGTGGTCTGTGCACAGTTGCAGTAGACGGTTCCCGTTATCTGTCCTGCGACCAACGAGTCCCCATCGGCCACCTAAACGATTCTCTTCTGTGCCTAGACGCCCGACCTGAGCATTCAAGTCTCCGGCTAGTACTATAATATCTGTCGAACGCACTTTCTGGAGAAGAACAGATAACTGGTGGTAAAACTCATCCTTGATTGCATCCGGGCTGCAATCTGTCGGGGCATAGGCGGAGATGACGAAAAGACATCGTTTCTCACCCCGATTTCTTCTCACTTTGATGGAACTTTCTAATCTAACAGCACATAACCAACCGACTGTTAATGGGGATCCAATCGATTAGTGCTGCCTCAGCTCTAGCGCTTAGTGCGACACCAACGCCGGCCAGACCAGACGAATATGCCACAGTGTCCCCGGATAAGCGCACGTAAAACAAGCTTTTCGAAGCGACAGATGAAGAGCGAATTTGTAGTACTTCACCAGAGTCTTGAATACGGGTCTCGGATAGACAGCAGACATCGATATTAAGACTTTCCAAAGACAGCCAGCCCTATCTGTTGTCCAACCTGCATAAGTGTGCGAACTTTGAAGTCAGCCAGTTTGAATGGTGCACGCGGTTTCAGAAAAATCGCTTCAGTATTCGTATTTGGTGGTAGTATACAATTTTCAACCAGGCAGTGACTCGAGAACGTTTAGCTAGAACCGAGTTTCCACCATAGGCGAGCTGCTGTATAAGTCGAAAAATAAGGATACATAAAGTGGGAATAAAAGAGTGAATAAATGACGTAGTAAATAATAATAATAATAATAATAATAATAGTAATAATAATAATAATAATAATAATGTGAATTGTTTAACTGTTAATCAAAGCGTGAATAGAATTCTCAGTTAATATCGTCATTTTCATTTTATTTGTGTGTGGGCTGTGATACTGCCCAGGTGCCCAGGCCGAAGCAAGTGGTTATCTTAAGGGGTCACACTCCGAGCCTTTGACCTAAAAGTCTAACCCACAAGTCAGTGGAGCATCGTGAGGAGATGCAGTCCCATGGTAGCCGGTGACCAACGATTGGTTCATACGCCATTTGTTCCCTCAGGATACTGGAGCCTATGTGCACCATTGGTTTTGGATCCGGTTAAAGCGCCGGACATTCGCTTTTCGTCCTCTCATTTTCGTAAAAAACACCCTCGTCAGGAGGAGGCAGTGAGTAGGACTTCCCTGGCAGAGGCTGTACACGCGTGGCCGTGTGAGAGCATTTCGAGAGGGAGGGCGGGCCCACCCCACTCTCGGCCATACCAGGGCATTTGGGGGCAGTAATAAATAAGTAAATTTAAAATTTTAATCGATAAATTATAAAGATACAGTATCAAAGGTTAATTACTATGCTGTAACACTACAAAAGAGCGAGCCATTCTACGTACTTTTAAAATCATTTTCTGCAAGATTGCACTGTTTGATATCAGCCTACAGAAGAAGAAAAAAGACATCATTACGACTTCACATATTTACATATACATGGTCTGTGATTAAATAAATAATAAGTATCTTTATGTTTTTTACTATGAGTAAAAGATAGAGCACTCTTCCATAAATATGTGAAACCTAGAATTAAAGATTACTAAGTTTCTTTTCTAAAACTATTTGGAACGACCTCTCTTGAACTACTAATCATATATTTCGCATATTCCAAATTAGTTATTTATAATTTGAATGAAAATAATAAGTAGATCTAGAACATGTATTCATTTTGTATGTTATTTCATCAGCAAGTACTGATACTTATTAATTCCGAAATATTTTATTTACTAGTGTACTGTCAGTCAGTCAGCTACAACGTGGGAACAGGCACATATGTGCATCGATCCAAGTTGCCATACTGCATTAGCACAACAAGATGAACACCGACTTCAAAGAAGTAGTTAATTAAATGATCGTAATATATAAAAGAAAGATTCCATATAAGGACATATTACAGGAAGAAAGGATTAGTTCGTAGAAAGAAATATAGCAATTTTAATCTCAGTTTAAGGGAGGACAAAGAGTGTATACACCTACACCATTGTGATCGATTCTGAGCCATGTCACACACAGTCTACCAACATGGCTAAGACTAGAAGTTAGTGACGTTATGGCCTGATGCCACGTTTTGGTTTGGCCACCCCTAACTCTTCCAACTATCCCCAACACTAGTCAGCATTGCGCGTCGTGGTAATCGGTGTTCAGGTATACGTAATACGTGGCTCAATCATCTCAGATTCACAACCTCATCAACTGATTTACCATCATCATTCCCTAATATCCTGCGTTATTTATTTAATCTGATGGAATGGCTTACATTAAGTCACGAAATGTCATCAGAAATACATTTTTTCTACTCATTGAGATATAACAAAAAAATATTTATTATTAATAATTGTTTACATTTATCTATATTTTATGTACAATATGTTTTCACGAATGTATGCACAATGTTTTGAAGTTATTATTATTATTATTATTATTATTATTATTATTATTATTATTATTATTATTACTTGAACACATAGATATTGGTACAAGGAGGTACCAAATACATGTGCGAAACACAAATCTCATTTGATATGTGTGAGGGCTGTGATACTGCCCGGGTGCCCAGACCGAAACAGGTGGTGTTCTTAGGGGGCCACACCTGGAGCCTTTGACATGAAGGCCTGATCCAAAAGGCATTGGAGCACCGTAAGGACATACAGTCCCATGGAAGCCAGTGATCAGCGATTGGTTCATACGCCATTTGTTCCTTCAGAATACTGGAGCCCATGAGCACTAATGGTTTTGAATCAGGGTGGTAAGTATCTCCGCCTGTCACGTGGAAGGCCCGGGTTCGATTCCCGGTCGAGGAGTCGGCTTCCCGACCGTTGTTGCTACCTTGACGTGGTGGTCGGGCTTGCCTATCGTGATGAAGCAACCGAGCTATACTGGCTGGAACAACCGTTCCTCAAGGTCCTACCATGTCAGACAGGTCGGTTGAAGAGCGGTAAGACTAAAAGCAACAAACCCAAGGTCCGAAGTCGTACTGCTGACTGTACAGAGGTGTGACAGCAGTAAGGTGTTTCCTTCACACAACCAGCATGACAGCGATGCTGCCTTCCCACAAGGAGGGGTGGGGTTAGAAAAGGTCGACCCTAAAAATGCACACCTCGCCTTATCTCACGGATATCCGTCTCCGGCGGTAAGGTCTCAATAAGTACGGAGCTAACACAAAAATTACCTATAAAAAGGTCGTGTGTGACCGACCTCAAGCAGTTGTCCCTTGGACACTGCGGTCACGCTCTCAGGTCACTAAGACCACCTTTAATCCAAATTCCTTTTCAGGTACCTCCAGAACAACCCTTCCACGGTGTGGGCAACCGGGAAGTGAAAACCACCCTCATACCTCTAACAGCACTCAAGACCACTGTATTCATAATCAACCTTCCTCTTCAATTCCTATTATTCCTCCTACATCGACTTTCAACTTTAAATTTCCTCTCTCGGCTTCCACCTCAAGTGTCACCATAGCCAACGATTCTAGTGCGCAAAATACTGTCCCAGGTCTACTGAAACCTCGCTCCAAACTACACATTGGAGCCTTCAACGTACGAACCCTATGTCAAATCGGTCACCAGGTTTCCTTGGCTAAAACCCTAGAGTCTCTTACCATTGACGTGTGCTGTGTCTCCGAAACACGCATACAGGATTCCAGTGTGGTCATTCACTTGACCTCACCTCGGCAAAACGGAGAGCCGACGAGATACACCCTTCGTGTATCTGGTGACCCGATGGCAAGTTCTCGTGGACTGGCAGGTGTAGGCATAGCACTAAGCATGAGAGCCGAACAAGCACTGCTAGAGTGGATCCCCGTCAACAGTCGTCTATGTGCTGTTCGGCTGAACGGCTACGTAAGAACTCGGAAGGATAGGGACACACGTCGTTGCCTTTTTGTCGTTTCTGCCTACGCTCCCAATGACTGCAGCTCAGATGATGTGAAAGATGAATTTTACAGAAAGCTATCTGAACTTCTTCAGAAAGCTAAGCGTTCAGACATAGTACTCGTAGCAGGTGACTTTAATGTCCAGATAGGTAGGTTAAACCAAACAGAAAGGCATTTAGGTGGGTATTTTAGTATTCCGGCACAGCGAACAGATAATAGTGATCGTCTGCTGCAACTGTGCTCAGACAATCATTCATTTTTAGCAAACACAAATTTTAAGCATAAGGAGAGACATCGCCTAACATGACGACCCCCTACACCAAACCAACGATGGACTCAAATAGACCATATTGCCATCAGTCATCGTTGGAGAGGGTCGGTTGAAGATTGTCGCTCATTCTGGAGTACCTGCTTGGACTCCGACCATGCCCTAATACGGGCACGCATCTGCTTGCGCCTCACTGGACGCAAAAAAGCCATATTAAAAAGACCCGTTAGAAATGAGTTGAGTAACGAGAAAACCAAAAGTAGGTTCCAGGAACAACTGAGGTCACACTTAGGTAGTTGTGAAGACGAGGCTGACCCAGATGTTGCTTGGAAGGGCATACAATCAGCTGTGGAAACAGCAGTGACATCTATTAGCGACTTAAACCACAGAGTTGCAAGGAACCAGTGGATTTCTCCAAGGTCTGTCACACTGATGGATTCTCGCAAACTCGTCCCATCAGGTTCTGAACATGATGAAGAGCGAAAACAAATCAGATCTAGGTTAAGAAAAAGTCTGAGAAACGACCGTGAGCAGTGGTGGGCATCGAAAGCAAAAGAGATGGAAAAGGTGGCGACTATAGGGAACACAAGACAGCTTTACAGACTAATAAAAGAAACTGGAATTAATAAGTCAAGTGTAAGTGAGATTATATCGGAAAAAGACGATACACTCATCTGCTCCAAGTCCAGGCGTTTAGAACGATGGGCGGAACACTTTAGGGAACAGTTCAGCTGGCCTTCAGCTACTCTACAACTACCCTCCATTCCCAGACAGTGTGAATGGAACATTGAAGTAGGTCCCCCGACTCTTGCTGAAGTTCAAAAGGCTATAGTTAATCTGAAACGAGGAAGGGCAGCTGGTCCAGATGGATTGGCTCCAGAGGTCTTTAAGGATGGTGGTCCAATTTTAGCGATTAGGTTGACTAATATTTTAGCTAAGATCTGGGAATTAGACTTTATCCCATCTGACTGGTCGCAATCACTTATCGTCCCAATATATAAGAAAGGGTCAAAATCATCCTGTGACAACCACAGAGGGATTAGTTTAACTAATATAATATCTAAAATACTAGCCTCGATAATTATCAGACGCCTAACTAAGACTCGTGAACTGGAAACACGAGAGAACCAAGCTGGCTTTGGACCTGGTCGTGGCTGCATCGACCACATATTCACCATTCGTCAGGTTCTAGAACACAGGCATACCTATCGGCGTCCGACGATGGTGGTATTTCTTGACTTAAAAGCAGCATTTGACTCCGTAGACCGCGAGACTCTGTGGCAGTGTCTGTCATTGAAAGGCGTACCTCAGAAGTACATAAACCTTGTGAAGGCTCTTTACTCGAACACTACTAGTCGAGTCAGGGCTTATGGCAAACTGTCATCTACTTTTGCAACCTCAAGTGGTGTCCGTCAAGGCTGTCCACTTTCTCCATTTTTGTTTAACTTCATCATAGACCTATTGATGGAAATAACACTCTCGTCGACTGAATTCTCGGGTATTGATCTCCTTCCAGGAGGTCCACTTATCGACTTAGAATACGCAGATGACATAGTCCTGTTTGGTGAAGACGCTGACAAAATGCAGAGTCTTCTGGTAGCACTAAGCAACAATGCCAGAATGTTTGGGATGCGCTTCTCTCCCTCTAAATGCAAGTTGTTGCTTCAGGACTGGTCTCCGTCAACACCTGAACTAAGGATAGGGAGTGAAGTAGTTGAACGCGTTGACAACTTCACTTATCTTGGAAGTCTGATCAGCCCTAATGGGTTGGTGTCTGACGAAATCTCAGCACGGATTCGAAAAGCTCGTTTGGCTTTTGCCAACTTACGTCACGTATGGCGAAGGCGAGATATCCGTCTATCAATAAAAGGACGAGTATACTGCGCGGCAGTCCGTTCTGTTTTAATTTACGGCAGCGAAACATGGCCACTAAGAGTAGAAGACACCCGTAAGCTACTAGTATTTGACCACAGATGCCTTAGAAATATTGCTGGCGTCTGCTGGGATCACCGGGTAAATAATAGTGAGGTTAGACGCAGGGTATTAGGGAATGATGGTAAATCAGTTGATGAGGTTATGAATCTTCATCGACTGAGATGGTTCGGCCACGTGCTACGTATGCCTGAACACCGATTACCACGACGTGCAATGCTAACCGGGGTAGGGGATGGTTGGAAGAAAGTTAGGGGCGGCCAAACCAAAACGTGGCATCAGTGCCTGAAGTCACTAACTTCTAGTCTGAGCCATGTTGGTAGATGCAGACTACTTGGTTGGGGTCCGCGTGACTATCGTAACCAATGGTTGGAGACTCTCGGTGACATGGCTCAGAATCGATCACAATGGCGTCGGTGTATACACTCCCTGTCTTCCCTTAAACTAAGAGATTAAAATCACTTCATTCTTTCTGTCTACGAACTAATTCTTTCTTCCTATACTATATCCTTATTGCAACCTTTGACCTAACCACTCCTATGAATCCGCTGTTCATCTTGCTGTGCTAATGAGGTATGGCAACCTGGACCGATGCACATATGTGCCTGGTCCTACGTTGTAGCTGACTGACTGACTGACCAACCCGGTTAAAGCATTGGAAACACTCCTTTTATCCTCTCGATTTCGTAAACACCAGGCCACCGCGAGAAGGCAGTGAGTAGGACTTCCCTGGTAGTGGCTGTATATGCGTGACCATGTGAAAGCATTTCGAGAGAGGTAACTCTCCTCACTCTCGGCATTACCAGGGCATTTGGGGGCAATGTTTTAAAGAATTAAACTCAGAATGACAATATTAACTTCTTTTTTTGGAACAGATTAATACAATGAATCTAAGCATAGTTTAAAGCAATTTCTAAATAAACATTATTTAATTGAAATTTCTCAATTTCAATTTAATTAAAAACTGATCTTATAAATTTACTTCTTAACATTGTGAATGTTATTATTGATTATTCATAGGTATAAAACATAACTTACAGAAATTCGCCTCTGTATAAATCTCAAATAAAGTTCTGAACATGTAATGATCTGTAACGTTTCAACAATTATAGGCTCAATGATCAATACGCGATCTGATCCTAATTCGTTTGAATCCAATATTTTATCTTTATTGATCGATTGAGCTGATGAATCATGTCTTTTACTGTTTAAACTATTACTATTTAATTTCTTGAGCACTGAACAAAGTTCATCAAGGTGATGATAATTATAGAAACGCTCGATTACACACTTGACGTATTGGTCAACGACACAATGAACAGAAGATACAAACCCAAATATGTTGCCTGGGCCTAACAAAAACATAAGAAAATCAATAAATAACACCACGTAACCTGATTACAGCTACCCCCACATACATAACTTCGTAAAACTGCCTGTTATAAATGGACTCAAATAAATAAGTGATGTACAGTACATTTGTACTGCAGTTAGCAGGAGGATATAGGACGTGTGTTGCCTCCTGTTTAGGACACGTCAGATGGATGTACCAGCATCAGTGTTAATACTTACACTGAGACCTCAATTCAGTACCTATCGCCTTAAAAGTCAACGCATTATCCAACAAACTAGTGATTCCAGATAGCCACTGATGTGTCCAACGGGTCAGGGGTTTGTATTTTCCACCTACTGAAATTTCAGGGCTACAAAGAATGCATACTGAGGACTTGTAATTTAGAAGGCAATATTGAAGCATTTGCTCAGGATGTAAATGTACCAGTGAATTGCACACCAGTATATAAACAGCAGGGAAACACAAACCCTTACAAAGAAATTGATGTGTTTGAAAAGGTTAAGCAAATAGTTTTCCGGTATTAATACAACACAATTATTTACTATAACTGTATCACACAAGATCATTACGTGTCATCATAAACGAGTTAACCAAAATAAAACATATTTTGCTACCATAACAACCGGTATTTTACAAATTCTTAACATTAAAATGCTTTTGCGCCTTGTAAACATTTCACATTGAAAATGTCAGAAAAATTAGCTTCAGCACAACTCTCCTCGTTTCTTTAAATGACAATAAACATTTTATACTTACCACAGTATGTTTCGACGTACATTGAATTATTTTTTAATGTATCCGCAACAAACTCTAAAATTTCTGTGATTAGATTAGCTGATGCAAATTCAGATGATTTTGAAGATGATTTATAAGTATTTATCAATATTTCACATTTATTTGAAATGTATGAACAAAGATATGTAGAAAATCGTCGAATTCCTTCATTGGTTTCGCCCAATAAGAAAAATATCTTTAACAAATGTACTATATTCTTTTCATCCCGTTTCGAAACATATTCATCGAATTTCCCAATTGCCATCTTTACGAGAATTTGTCGACTGTCATCCAGAGTTTTCAATGGGTTATTATCAGGATTATCTATAAAGTATTATTTTAGATCATCATTAATATGACTATCACAAATAAGAGACCATTTTCAATCGAAGTGTAGAAACTATAACATGTAATATTTGAGGATAGGGTTTATAAAATCAGAATAAATATAGTATGTGTATGTTGGCAAGTTAAACTGTACAGTCGTGTTGCAGTTTGATGAGCTGAATCAATACCAGGATTATAAACCACAGAGAAATGTAGAAATTCTCACAAATCTGTACTGTGACAATTTGAACAAGATTATAATTTTTTTCTACTAATTAGACCCATCTCCGGTTGTGCCATAATAAACTTTAATTTATATTTATAATACAGTATAGAAACCATTAAAATGATAGAAAAAAGTACGGAGGTGTACGAACTAATTAATTATCCTTTTAATCTTGATATCACTATTTAGTTCTATTGGGTAATAAAAACCTTGTTGAGTAACATATGCCTGTTTCAGTAATAGCTAGTTCGTGGAGCTTGACGTCCGAACATGTTTCAATATGTTGGCTTCTCATATTAATATACTGTCAAATTGGCTTTTATATATATGGCTTTAGTTTGCCCCTTGTTTTTGAAGTATACTCTGAAATTTTGGCCGTTCATTATCATTGATATTACTAGTATTTCGACTCATTTGCTACTTTTTATTGATGTCATCTTTTTTGTATCCCGATAAGAATAATGAATGGTAACTTTTGGGATCCATTTATGGACCAATACTATGCGTATATTTTTATCGTATAATTATTAATTAACTAAACTATTCAGTATTCATGTCCCTCTTATTATGAGCTATATTTTGACCTATGAATTATTATACGATTCATCATTCTTGAGTTATACCCAGTCTATCAATTACTACCTCCCACATTCACAGCCACTTTTGGCCAAATCTTGTACAGATGTTGTTTCCTATCTTATGGTACGATGAGGTCTGCCTGGTCTGTATATAAAGGCAGTATGTTTGAAATAAATGATTTATATCGCAGAGGCTGAGATGGTGTTTTGAAATTAGTAGGCTGGGCTAGGTAGGAAGCAGGACCGATAAGGACTCTGGACTGCTCGTACATGTTTTATGCGTGATTGGTCCGATCGATAATCCATTGTACTCTAATTGGCGGTATCATCACGTTACACATCAACAGGACACAGGGCACAAGTTATAACAATCTTGTTGAGCTACCATGAGATCCTCATCTGGGCTCAAACACATTTGTGTCAAGTTATATGTTGATTATGACTCATTCGTAACTCCTTAGACACTATTGATTTCCAATTAGTCAAATCACCATCATGGCCATCAAAAATGGAGGATATTCGTAGGTTACATGCATCAAATCATAGGTATTTTCGAAGCATTGCTCGTGTATTTTGGGACCACAGAATAAGCAATGCCTGAATTAAGAAGGGTACTAGGTAGGAATGACAAATAGATTGATGAGGTAGTAAATCTTCATCAAGTGAGGTGGTTGAGACGTGTTACGTATGTAGGTGTGGGAGTAGGCTGGAAGAAACCTAAGAGCAACCAAACCGAAACATAGCATCAGTCCGTGAAGTCACTGACATTTGGACTTGGTGATGTTAATAGATATAGACTACCTTATTGCGGTACGTGTGGTTATCGTAACCAATAGTTAGGGACTTTAAATGACATGGCTCAAAATCGTCTGCAATGGCGCAGTTGCATCCATTCTTTGTCTTCCCCTAAATTCCTCATGAATCTCTTGTTTTATTTCACTAATTTATATTTTCCTATTGAATCGTATTTTCGGTGCCTAATCTTTCCTATTAACACTGATACGGTGACTACCTCTACTATTCTGGGATTTGGCCTGACAATTTCATTTCTCAGTGATGATGGGGTATGAAAACTTGAATTGACATACAAACGCACCAAGTTCTACGTTGTGACTGACTGAGACCATCACCATACATTTGACAGGCGTGGAGCATTCATTTAAATGCGTCTAGTTTCTCACCTTTAGACTTTATAATGATGATATTAATATTGTGACTCATCAGCCAATTACAAAGCTCCATACTCGGATTTGAGTCATGTTTTGTGACGACTAGTGATAATATCTGAATACTTAAAACACAGAATTTGGAGTTTAAACCTACCCTCCACTGGTCGATAGCTTAATGTTTAAACCAACAAGCCACTGATTCACTATTGAAGTATTTGGAAATGTTTCACTTTTTTATTCCTTTTACTTAACGGAATAGTGTTCGACTGATACAACGGTTAGATTACATCAATCTTCAAGAAATTGGCAATAAACGTCACCATCAACATATATAGCAGTTAAACGTAAGTGGTGAGAACAAATAGCCAATGTATGCTAAGTTTTCATACCATAACCAATGATAGAACTGTGACTTCTAAACTATTCTGAACTTGTAAGTTTTTGAGACATGTTATGCACACTCCAGTTACGTCATATCCTGATCAATGCTAACCGATCTGGTAGGTTGAGAGGTTAAAAGCGACCACGAAATCATCTATCTAAGCTGTGTGGGAGAGGTATTGGATTCTTGATCAAGGTCCTCTAGATAATCGTGGTAAACAGTTGAAGAACTCGAATAAACGTGGCTCAAAATAGGACTTAACAACATAGATCCATTTATTTCCTACCTATCTCTAAATTCCGATTTTAATATAGATACTTTTAGTCACTTACTTCGGCTAATACTGCAATTATTTTGGCATCTATTACTTTCACGTTGTTAGGCTCTTCCTTCATTTGTTTCGACATGAAGTATAGGGGCTGTCCGAGACATATTTCTAAATGGTCCCTCATTATGACTGAAACATGTAGTCTTCCCACTTTCATATAATTTGCTGACCAGGATCTCGTGTTACGCATGTAGTTACAGGTTATTGGGAAGCTATCTCTACTTCCAATAAAACCACAAGCAGAGAAGTCGAAGTAACAGTTCACAACCACTTTTTAAGCAATTCATCAAAATATGCTTTATATATGTAAGCGAATAAACCCGGACAGTGAGAAAACTACTGGTTTAGACAGCTGATATTTTAAAGTGAAAAACAGGCTTACCAGCTGATAGACGAGAGATAAGAGAAATTATGTCTTTCTCCATTTCCAGATAAGTAAACACGTAACCAGCGGCCTAAAAATAACTGTGATAATCAACTAAGTTACTTCATCTAATTTAGAGTCAATGAGACATCGTTTCACTCCAACTGCACTGTTCCTTACAGTAATTATATGACTAAGTTTATCTACACAATTAAGAACATGATTCTGAAAAATACTAGGAATTCAATAAGATTACTTTCACAAAATCTAATTGCTCCACTTTTTCACTGAGCTGTAGAGCAAGTTTTGAAGCACAACCCACCAATCTTGAAGAATTTTCGGCATTTATTTGTAACTTATGGAAATCAGGTCTACAGAAAAAGTATAGCTAAGGGGCTTGCATACATTAGAGAGTTTATCTTTTTTAATTTGTGCTCTATTTCACTTCTTCTAGCAAGTAAGTTCTTGATTTCATCAGATACATCTGCCTGTAAAATCAGTTTTATGCAAAACTCCAATATTACTTACCTTAACATTATGGGACTTCTCAACTAGATCCTTAAGCTCGGAAAAGTCGTCAATCGTGCATACATTAGAGTTCATGATATTGGTCAGAGTCCAATTACTTCAAAACAAAACAATCCCAGAAGAATTAGATGTCAGGTGTGGAAACTAAAACTCCGCCTATACCTCTTCTAGGGCTACTGCCGTTCCCAAGCCAACACAAACGAAGAGGGTTGGGAGTGGGGTCGGCAACCCTATCCCGTAGAAAACAACCTAGCTGAAAACAAATACTAACCAGAATAAACAATTTAAACTCTGTTCTCCGAGTTCAAGCATCTTCATTCAGAAGAATTATCACGCCTCATCATGAAAGACGAAATTCTTCGGAAGTCACAAGGTCGATGCCCCTTCTAACAACCAGAGCAACATTCGTTATAGGTATACGGAATGTCCAGACAATGTGGGAGACCGGGAGGACCAATTAAATAGCAACGGAAATGATACAAATTGGCAGTTCTCGGAATCAATGAAACTTATTGGACCCAAACTGGACAGAAAACATTAGATTTGGGAAAGATGCTCACGTACTCTGGTCACGAACAAGAAAATGCTCCACACACTCACGAAGTTGCTCTGATGCTGTCGGAACAAGCACGTAATGCACTTGTAGGATGGCAATCTCATGGATCCTGGAACATCAAAGTATCCTTCAAAACAAAGGAGGGAATTACAATGAATGTTATCCAATGTAATGTACCCACCAATGATAGTAATAACGATGATAAAGATCAGTTCTACAAGAGGAAATATGAAACAACTATATCACACGACGAAGAAACTGGTAGGGGAATATAGTAAACCAAAGAGACCGGTCAAGGACGAAGAAGACTAGCCAATCACCGAGATTCAAGAACAGGGGAACATATGGGTAGAACGCTTCGAGGAACTCTTGAATAGACCAGCTCCACTGAATTCACCGGTTATCGAAACGGTATATACAGACCTTCCTATAGATGTCATTCCACCAACGATCGAAGAAATCAATTGTGGCCGTCACACAAATCAACAGTGGGATATCGAGAACATCAAGCACACTGAAGTCAACTTCCTTTGTAACACGCTATGCAAGCCTCTGGAATAGGTTGCTAGTAGACATCCGGTTTCGAGACCGGCAAGCTGGATTTCGTGAGGATCGATCGTGTACAGACTGAATCGCAACTCTACGGATCATTGTGGAACAGTCAATTGAATGGAATTCATCACTCTACACAGACTTCATTGACTACGAGAAAGCATTTGATAGCGTGAACAGGACAACACTATGGAGGCTTCTTCGACACTATGGCGTGCCTCAGAAGATAGTCAGTATTACACAGAATTCCTTTGATGGATTAAACTGCAAAATCGTGTATGGAGGACAGTTGACAAACTCGTTCGAGGTGAAGACCGGTGTCAGGCAAGGTTGCTTACTCTCAGTCTTTCTCTTTCTCCCGGTGATCGACTGGATCATGATGTCAACACCTGGGGAGAAGCACGGGATACATCGGACATCTAGGATGCAGGTGGACGATCTAGACTTCGCAGATGATCTGGCTCTTCTATCGCAAACGCAAAAAAATTGCAGAAGACGACCAGTGTAGCAGCAGTCTCAGCAGTAGGTCTCAACATACGCAAAGGGAAAAGCAAGATTATCCGATAGAACACAGCATGAAACAATCGAATAACACTTGACGAAGTTTTGGGAGATGTAAAAACCTTTACATATCTGGGCAGCATCATTGATGAACACGGTGGATCTGATGCAGATGTGAAGGCGCGGGTCGTAAGGGCAAGAGCAGCATATCTACAACTGAAGAATATCTGGAACTCAAAACAACTGTCAACTAACACCAAAGTTACAATTTTCAATACAAATGTCAAGATAGTTCTACTGTATGGGGCGGAAACCTGGAGAACTGCGAAAGACATCATCCAGAAGATACAAGTGTTTATTAACAGTTGTCTATGCAAAATACTTCAGATCCGTTGGTCAGACACTATCAGCAACAAACTACTGTGGGAGAAAACAAGCCAGATTCCAGAGGAGGGAGAAATCAGGAAGAGGCGCTGTAAGTGGATAGGACACACATGGAGGAAAGCACTCAACTATGTCACAAGGCAAGTCCTCACATGGGATCCTCAAGGCCAAAGGAGAAGAAAAAGACCAAAGAACACATTACGTCGATAAATGGTGACAGACATGAGAAAAATGAACAAAAATTGGATAGAACTAGAAAGGAAGGCCCAGGACAGAGTGGGTTGTCGGATGCTGGTCGGTGGCCTATGCTCCATTAGGAGTAACAGCCGTTAGTAAGACATCCGGCTGGGTCAAACGCTTCCCTAATTTATATCTTTCCTAAGTTGCTTTATGGACCAATTCGGAGTTCCCCACATGCTCAATGTAGCTTAATAAATTATGGTTTCTCCGGAGCATTTTACGCCTGTAACAAATTTAACTTACGCGTTCCCTTTTTCACTTAATTGTAAAGACGGAGAACAAACCTTCAAATTTACTTATAATTAATTTCGATTTTGGGCTGTTCACAAAGCAGAAATAAAAAAGTATCGCAAAATAAGTGATACTATTACCCCTGAAGCGCTACCCGCGTTATTCATGGTCACAGCTCATACTAAGCGCTCCTTATAATTACTCTACAACGACTACAAACGTCTTGGAATGATCTGACCTGGTGTATAACATGAACGCGATATCATTTTTGAAAGCGATTGTAAAAACTGCACTGATAGTGAGATACTGTGACATAAACCTAACTAAGAACGCTGTAGCGGTAAATAAATCCCTAAAATAAATAGCTCTGTAAGTTTTCGACATTGGATGCTGACCACATGTTTTAATGGACTCGTCTAGCTGAAAGCTCTCGACCATGCATCCGCACCAGATCACGAGTGGGAACGCCGTGCTCAACAACCCCTGCAATCACCAGCCAGATTAGATCAGACGATTCTCAACATATTGATAGCATATCAAATATATCTTCGAACTTCCTCGCTTCTGTCTTTTGATTTCGTATGGTGGGTACGCTTCATACTAGAAGGTGCTACTGGTTAAAGTGTTGTCAAACTCTGAATACCGGTGGCATCTTCAACGCCATAGTAAGTTCTGCCATTAGTACTGGAAGGAAATAAACCTGAGAACTACCGACCCGCTAGGCTAACGAGCGTTTTTGTTAAAATTTTAGTTAAGGGGTTGTTTAAATACCTTCGATGAAAGCCGGATCCTATCGGAGGAACAGCATGGTTTTAGAATACGTAATTCCTGTCTCACTAACTTGTTGGTGACTCGTGAAAGCTGTCGCGTCCTTAAGGACTAAGAGTTACCTATAGACGTAGCCTGCATTAACTTCAGAAAAGCTTTTGACAAAGTCCCGCACAACCGGCTGTTATGTGAGTTAAGGAACGTCGGGGTTGAAGGTAATCTATTAATATGGACAAGACTTCCTAGTTGGGCACCAACAAAGAGTACGGATAAACCCAAGTTGTCTAGCTGGGAAACTGTGCCTAGCAGAGTGCCTCAGGGTGCAGTTTTGGGGCCGGTGTTATTCCTCTTCTGTGTGGATGGCCTCCTTCATCTAATATCATCATCAGTCTTGCTATATGCTGACGATGTCAAGATATGGAGAGCAATACGAAGTGAGAGTGATAGCTAAGAACATCAAAATGACCTGGAGAAATTATCTGATCGGTCTCAAACCTGGCAGTTGCCGATTAATACTTCCAAGTTTACTGTGATGCATATCGGTCATCAAGTTGCGATACATACATGATGGAAAACATTAGGCTACAACGACGTAGTGGTCATCGTTAGCCAAGTCCTAAAAACTACTGCACGTTGCCGTGCAATAACAACCAAATGTTTCAAAACCCTATGGTCAATACGTAGGGCCTTAAATCGTGTCGACGCTAAAAATTTTTTGAGTTTTTATACAGTATTCGCGCGTTCTAAACTTGAGTACCTCATACAGGGGGCTAGCCCCTATTTATAAAAAACAGTGAGCTTTTGGGAAGGATCCAGGGAACAGCAACTTAGCTGATTCCCTGAAAAGCGAAGCTCCTGTATGATGATCGACTGGCCAAACTAAACCTATTCCCGTTGTCATATAGTAAAACCAAGGGTGACTTGATTACAACTTTCAAATTACTTAGTGATGAATTTGCGCATGATATGCCTCATTTTTGTCTCCTAAAACAGAGAATTTACCAGGACACTCCATAAAAGTTCATAAGCCCAAAACAAATTATTGGTTAGCTAACTATCGACTTTCCCACCGAATTATCAACGGGCGGAATTCATTACCTCAGCACACGATTGGAGCTCCACCTGTCGACCACCGCGAAAGAAATTTGGACCAACTGAGGGACCATCATTGCCAGGACTAATACAGGCCATCTAACATCCTGTCCTCCCCCAAAATGAAACTGGTTAACTCTGTGGTATATCTGTCCGAATGTACTGCCTTCTATTTTTATTGATTTCATCTATTTATCAACCCCTGATAGGAAGCATTTTATGTACAAACCATTGTTGTGAATTATAGACCGTTTCTGTGAAAATGACATGTGCCTGCTCAGGAAGAAATACACCATTATATTATTATTGAAACCTGTATTATAACATTTTAGACAAGTGAGGGTATTATATCCCAACTATCCTTCGTAAGTGTTGTGGCATCTATTCATAGTGTTTTTACACATATTCCAGATTTCCGGTGTTCATACTCAAGTGACTCGTGGCATGTTAATAAAAACACGTCCCAGAAATGTTTTCTACGCCTCATTCGCTTTCGGATTTCCTTTTCAATCTATGGACGACAATAAGATATCTTACGTGTTGACCAAGAACTTAATAATAATGATACAGACTCAAATATACCTTTGAACTTATTCTATTCGCTTTCAACTGGCCCATTTACATTGGACGACTAATCTTTAGAAAAAGCACGGTCTCGTACTGCCAAAACGAAAACCTGCAAAATATTGGGACTGGGTGGACCAGATACATACAGGATCTTATGAGTCCAAGACCGAAGGTGCAGTACAATGTGATCACTGTTTCTTTGTGGAGGCAGCTACCAAATGCTGGTGACGCCATGACAGAAATGTGTAAAGATGAGATACAGCAATGACGGTTTATGTTACAAGACAATATTTGTCGGTTCTGCGACGCATGAGAGAAGTGCGCGCCGTATTACTGGTTACAGCAAGCTGCAGTCAAAGCATCCACCTGAAGCATGAGTCCTGTCCATTTGATGTACATAGCACTAAATTTACCAACGATGAGGCAACAACAGACCTTAGTTCAAAATTAGACATAATTTGAGACAATTATAGAGTTTTCACCGACGCTTTAGCCTTTCAGGGTCATATAAAGCAAGGTGGGGTACTTTAAAATATGAGGTGATGTAGTTGATGAGGTATAAAAACTAGCTCGAGCTGTTTTCCCGGATCCTTATGTGTTATCGTCATACTTGTTGAAATCGTCAAAAAAAGCACTGGAATTAGTGATCTCATGCAAACTTTCATGTTTAATGCTTGAGTGTCGAATTAAATATTTTGTATGGTAAAATAATGCACCAAGTCGCAGAATGACAGTACTGTCAAATAGATGATTTATAGATATATGGGCAGCGGAATACTGGTTTCGTGCAGAAAGAATTGGCTATTAAAGATTATCAACATTCTGGAGTCGAAACCCATCACTGTCATGGAAATTATTTTATATAAATAGGATATTCGAAGTTATTTAATTCTTTCCTGTAACACGCAGAGTAACGAAAAGGTTAAGAGATTATAGTGTCGTCAATAAGGATAGTCGACATTTTTCGTTCGTAACTGTAGTTTCTAGGCTCATGACTGGTTTTGAACCAGCTAACTCCACAGTCAACTGCTTTTCCTGACAGTCAAAATTGTAGAAGCTGATATTGACCTATATATATGCCATAGTCTAGAAGCTGCATCGGGAGAACTATTGGGGACGCTAAATTCCCAGAACTCATTTGGGAAAGGACCTAATTTTGTAATTTGATTGAGAAAATTTGAATTTCTTTGTTTTCGTGCCAAAGGCGCTCTTGTCACCATGTCGTAGTTCCCACTGAGAATTATCTTAAATGCTATTGGTTAGTTGCATCTTTCAGTATGCCATTTTGTAACTATCCCCAAGGACGTTTTGCGTCGTATATATACATTTTGAATTGTGTTTGTTGTGATCGCTCGTTTCTGGCTGTTTGCAGAATATATTTCCCCATTCCAAGCTTGAACATCTCTCTCTACTTAGCGGGGCTGGGACGCATCAGTAGCTAGCTTACTGGTCTTTAGTCACGGATTCTTGTTTCTCGTTGGCAGATTAAGTGAACTTGTGGTGGCATTGAACAATAACCGCACAATCCACAAAGCTGAACACGAGACTACTCAGAAAATAGATATTCAATATTTAACGCGGATAAATACCTAACGATGGAGAAGGCGCGAAGAATGAATTGAATGGACTGGAGTTGATCGAGTGGCATGGCTCGGCCATGCAGGCGTGGTCCCTGCTGGATGTTATCTTATATCTCCTATTCATATTAAATATATTGTTCTTTCTCTAGCCTAACCTTGTTCTACAGCATGTATTGGTAATTGATACGATACAGTGAGTTGGCGTAGTCGATGGTGTGACTTCCACGTAAGATCTTATAGATTAGGCAGTTATATCATGACGAATCTACAAACTTAGGATTAGGTCTATTATTAGAGCAGTACTAATATCATAGTAGACCATAGTTCTACATTGGTGAGCCCAACTAAAGAAACGCAACCTATTATTATTAATTCTTATTTCCACTTCAACTTTCTCGATCGATTTTATATTTATGTTAACCCTATATTCTAATAGTCCTCTGATTAATGCTCACATGCATTATCGTAATGTTATATTGATTAGTCCTCATGACAAACTAGCTCAATCGATAATAAAAACTGGTCGTCTATATTAACTAATTAGCTTTGATGGTTTGTTAACAAGCTGTTATAGCATTTACATGCTTCAGCGACATAGTCTTGTTTAAACATCAAGCTCTAGCAAATATGATCTGTAAATAGCGTAAATATACATTGACTAACAATGCGATCAAGGACTAAATAGTTATCTGGATCTAATTCTCAGTGTTCCTTCACTTAACACCTCATCCTGTTTTAAACGATGCACTATCCTGTAATATCTTTTCTTCCGACCACTGCCTGCCTAATTTCATATTCTCGAGTTCCATTGCCAAACAACGAGGATGACCACCTCCAAAAAAATACCGTGAGTTTCAGCTATAAGTTTTCTGCAATCATAAGCTCATTTTAGATGGCTCGTTCAATAACAACCACACAATTATCTGGATTCATTCAATTGTTCTGATCCGAGCGAGTGGCAAAAACCACAACATCAAGCACCCTGGAATTAATTGCCATACTGCATGTTTTATTCTGGATGCTTTTGGACCACTACTCCTCACGAATGACGTTATATATGTCGTCCACTGAATAATATAATCGAAAATAACCCAGGCGAGTTCAACTATTTTACCTAATGATTTTTTGTACTTAACGTGTATATGTTTTCCAGTTGCTTTTTCAATATGTTTGTAAGTGTCCCTAGGGTAAAT